AGAGAGAGAGAGAGAGAGAAAAAGGACAGGAAGGAGGGAACGAAGCAAGGGAGGGAAGACCAAAGTTACAATTTCAACCCCTTTTGGGAAGTCTTGGATTTTCAGATTTGGCAGGTTCTGATTAAGATTGTTTTATTCTGTCCAGTCAGTGTGGCTCAGTGGTTGAGCATCAACCTATGAACCAGGATGTCACAGTTCAATTCCTGGTCAGGGACATGCCTGGGTTGTGGGCTTGACCCCAGTGTGACCAGGATGTCACAGTTCAATTCCTGGTCAGGGACATGCCTGGGTTGTGGGCTTGAGCCCCAGTGTGGGGCCTGCAGGAGGCAGCTGATCAATGATTATCTCTCATCATTTATGTTTCTCTCTCTCTTTCCCTCTCCCTTACTCTCTGAAATAGAAATATATTTTTTAAGAAAAGATTGTATTTTCAAACTTTATTTTGGCTTTACATCATTATTTGGCTTTATTTGAAAACTAGAGGCCCAGTGCACAAAATTCATGCACGAGGTTGGGGTGTCCCTCAGCCCAAACTGCACCCTCTCCAATCCGGGAGCCCTCAGGGGATATCCTACTGACGGTTTAGGCCCACTCCCCATGGTTCTCTGCTCTCTGTGGGGTCTGCCTGCTCCACACCACAGCGATGGGCAAGCAGGCCCTGTTGAGTGCTGTCTGTGTGTGTGCTTGCCTTCTCGCGGGTTGCCCTGGCAACAGCCAAGCAGGCCCTGTTGGGTGCTACCTACGGGCCACGCTTGCCTGCTCCTGGGTTGCCCTGGCGACGGCCAAGCAGGCCCTGCTGGGTGCTGCCTGCGGGCCGCGCTTGCCTGCTCCCAGATTGCTGGGTGCTGCCTGTGGGTCACACTTGCCTGCTGGGCTCGTGTTGCCAGGGCGATGCCACCAGCGTCCTGCCCCAGCCACTATGGGAGCCACCATCTTTGTTATGGAGTGATGGTTAATTTGCATACTGCTCTTTTATTAGATAAGAAGTTCTGTAAAAATAATTATAGTAATGACCATAGGATGTGTTGAGGACATCTTCATTGCATTAGAGCATGTCATTTTCATTTGGAATTTCTGAAGGAATTTTTTCACTTTGCAGTAACAAGACTACTTCTATTTTTTCCTTTTTCCTTCATACAGACTTATTCACGTAAGTGATGATACCACCTTTTTATGCACTATTTTGTAGAAAGTTCACAGCCATATCTATGACTCTCCTTGGGCATATCCTGGACACCATATACTACACTCAGATTTTTGCCACTGTAACTGGCTTGTTCTTGTATTCTTGTGCTCTGGCCAGAGAAATTATTGCTAATCTATTATCACTGAGGAAAAGTTAATTTATATTCCATATATTATTTTAAAATCACAAATAAATATGATTTATATATTCTCAGAGTTTACTGCCACATGTTTAAAAAACCATGCAAATATATACACAAGAGACAGATATAGATATAGTTATAGATTAGATATAAATATATCTCCAGAAAATGTTTCAGCCTGGGACAACTTATTTTTCTGAGAATTCCTGGTGGTAAAGATTTTAGTCTATTTAATAAAGTAAGTTCTTTGCTCCTCCAAAGGCTCATTCTATTT